ACTGGGAAGACAGGCGGAGGCAGGACCTCGGGAGAGCACCTGGGTTCAGGAGAGGCAGGACAGCACAGGATGGCTGAACGACCCCCGCTCCCCGCCCAAACGACAGCGGCAACAGAAGCAGAAACCGACACAACATACCCCCGGCGCTGGCGTGGTAAAGGGGTCAGGGTCGGCTCCAGGCGCGGCATTGTCCGGTGGGGGGTCCCAAGAACAGAGTTCCCAGGAGGGTGCGGGGGTCGGACCTGGCGGTGGCCTGGTGGTGGCCTGGTGGGGGCGTGGTGGTGGCGTGGTGGTGGCCTGGTGGTGGCCTGGTGGTGGCCTGGTGGTGGCGTGGTAGAGGGTCAGGGTCGGTTGCGGGCGCGGAATTGTCCGGTGGGGGGTCGCAAGAAAGAGCTCCCAGGAGGGGGCGGGGGTCGGACCTGGTGGTAGCCTGGTGGTGGCCTGGTGGTGGCGTGGTGGTGGCCTGGTGGTGGCGTGGTGGTGGCCTGGTGGTGGCCTGGTGGTGGCCTGGTGCTGGCGTGGTGGGGGACCAGGGTCGGCTCCGGGCGCGGAATTGTCGGGTGGGGGGTCCAAAGAACAACGCTCCAAGGAGGGAGCGGGGGTCGGACCTGGCGGTGGCCTGGTGGTGGCGTGGTGGTGGCGTGGTGGTGACCTGGTGGTGGCCTGGTGGTGGCCTGGTGGTGGCCTGGTGGTGGCGTGGCGGGGGGTCACGGTCGGCTCCGGGCGCGAAATTGTCGGGTGGGGGGTCCCAAGAACAGAGCTTTCAGGATGGTGCGGGGGTCCGGCCTGGTGGTGACCTGGTGGTGGCGTGGTGGTGGCGTGGTGGTGACCTGGTGGTGGCCTGGTGCTGACGTGGTGGGGGGTCAGGGTCGGCTCCGGGCGCGGAATTCTTTGGTGGGAGGTCCCAAGAACGGTCTCCGAGGAGGGTGCGGGGGTCGGACCTGGTGGTGGCCTGGTGGTGGCCTGGTGCTGGCGTGGTGGTGGCCTGGCGGTGGCCTGGTGGTGGCGTGGTGGGGGGTCAGTCAGAGTCGGTTCCGGGCGCGGCGGGGGTCGGACCTGGAGGTGGTCAGGTGGTGGCCTGGTGGTGGCGTTGTGATCGCATGGTGGTGACCTGGTGGTGGCCTGGTGGTGGCGTGGTGGAGGGTCGCGGTCGGTTGCGGGCGCGGAATGGTCGGGTGGGGGGTCCCAAGAAAAGAGCTCCCAGGAGGGGGCGGGGGTCGGACCTGGTGGTGGCGTGGTGGTAGCGTGGTGGTGGCCTGGTGGTGGCCTCGTGGTGGCGCGGTGGTGGGCTGGTGGTGGCCTGGCGGTGGCCTGGTGCTGACGTGGTGGGGGTCAGGGTCGGCTCCGGGAGAGGAATTGTCGGGTTGGGGGTCCCAAGAACAGAGCTTCCAGGAGGGACCGGGGGTCGGACCTGGTGGTAGCCAGGTGGTGGCCTGGCGGTGGCGTGGTGGTGACCTGGTGGTGGCCTGGTGCTGGCCTGGTGGTGGCATGGTGGGGGGTCAGGGTCGGCCCCGGGCGCGGAATTGTCGGGTGGGGGGTTCCAAGAACAGAGCTCCCAGGGGGATGCGGGGGTCGGACCTGGTGGTAGCCTGGCGGTGTCCTGGTGGTGGCGTGGTGGTGGCCTTGTGGTGACCTGGTGGTGGCCAGGTGGTGGCCTGGTGGTGGCGTTGTGATCGCCTGGTGGTGACCTGGTGGTGGCCTGGTGCTGTCGTGGCGGGGCGTCAGGGTCGGATCGGGGCGCGGCATTGTCGGGTGGGGGGTCCCAAAAACAAAGTTCCCAGGAGGGTGCGGGGGTCGGACCTGGCGGTGGCCTGGTGGTGGCCTGGTGGTGGCCTGGTGGTGGCGTGGTGGTGGCCTGGTGGTGGCCTGGTGGTGGCCTGGTGCTGGCCTGGTGGTGGCTTGGTGGTGGCGTGGTGGGGGGTCAGGGTCGGTTCCGGGCGCGGCGGGGGTCGGACCTGGTGGTGGCCTGGTGGTGGCCTGGTGGTGGCGTGGTGATGGCCTCGTGGTGGCCTCGCGGTGGCCTGGTGGTAGCGTGGTGGGGGGTCAGGGTCGGTTCCTGGTCCGGAATTGTCGGGTGGGGGGTTCCAAGAACAGAGCTGCTGGGAGGGTGCGGGGGTCGGACCTGGTGGTGGCCTGGTGGTGGCGTGGTGTTGGCCTGGTGGTGGCGTGGTGGTGGCGTGGTGGTGGCGTGGTGGTGGCCTGGTGGTGGCCTGGTGGTGTGGCCTGGCGCTGGCGTGGTGGGGGGTCAGGGTCGGCTCCTGGCGCGGAATTGTCGGGTGGGGGGTCCCAAGAACAGAGCTCCCAGGAGTTTGCGGGGGTCGGACCTGGTGGTGGCCTGGTGGTGGCCTGGTGGTGACCTGGTGGTGGCGTGGTGGTGACCTGGTGGTGGCCTGGTGGTGGCGTGGTGGGGGGTCAGGGTCGTTTCCAGGCGCGGCGGGGGTGGGACCTGGTGGTGGCCTGGTGGTGGCCTGGTGGTGGCGTGGTGGCCTGGTGGTGGCCTGGTGGTGGCGTAGCGGGGGGTGGGGGTCGGTTCCTGGTCCAGAATTGTCGGGTGGGGGGTCCCGAGAACAGAGATCCGAGGACGGTGCGGGGGTCGGACCTGGTGCTGGCCTGGTGGTGGCCTGGTGGGAACGTGGTGGTGGCGTGGTGGTGGCCTGGTGGTGACCTGGTGGTGGCCTGGTGGTGGCGTGGTAGAGGGTCAGGGTCGGTTGCGGGCGCGGAATTGTCGGGTGGGGGGTCCCAAGAAACGAGGTCCCAGGAGGGAGCGGGGGTCGGACCTGGTGGTAGCCAGATGGTGGCCTGGCGGTGGCGTGGTGGTGGCCTGGTGGTGGCGTGGCGATGGCTTGGTGGCGGCCTGGGGGCCAGGGTCGGCTCCGGGCGCGGAATTGTCGGGTGTGGGGTCCCAAGAACAGTGCTCCCAGGATGGAGAGCGGGGGTTGGACCTGGTGGTAGCCTGGTGGTGGCGTGGTGGTGGCGTGGTGGTGGCGTGGTGGTGACCTGGTGGTGGCCTGGTTCTGGCCTGGTGCTGGCGTGGTGGGGGGTCACGGTCGGCTCCGGGCGCGGCATTGTCGGGCGGTGGTTCCCACGAACAGAGCTCCCAAGAGGGTGCGGGGGTCGGACCTGGAGGTGACCTGGTGGTGGCGTGGTGGTGGCGTGGTGGTGATGACCTGGTGGTGGCCTGGTGCGGGCGTGGTGGGAGATCAAGGTCAGCTCCGGGCGCGGAATTGTCGGGTGGGGGGTCCCAAGAACAGAGCTCCCAGGGGGATGCGGGGGTCGGACCTGGTGGTGGCCTGGTGGTGGCCTGGTGGTGGCCTGGTGGTGGCGTGGTGGTGGCCTGGTGGTGGCGTGGTGGGGGGTCAGGGTCGGTTCCGGGCGCGGCGGGGGTCGGACCTGGTGGTGGCCTGGTGGTGGCGTGGTGGTGGCCTGGTGGTGGCGTGGTGGTGGCCTCGCGGTGGCCTGGTGGTGGCGGGGGAGGGGGGTCAGGGTCGGCTCCTGGCGCGGAATTGTCGGGTGGGGGGTCCCAAGAACAGAGCTCCCAGGAGGGTGCGGGGGTCGGACCTGGTGGTGGCCTGGTGGTGGCCTGGTGGTGACCTGGTGGTGGCGTGGTGGTGACCTGGTGGTGACCTGGTGGTGGCCTGGCTCGGGCGTGGTGGGGGGTCAGGGTCGGCTCGGAATTGTCGGGTGGGGAGGCCCAAGAACAGAGCTCCCAGGAGGGTGCGGGGGTCGGACCTGGCGGTGGCCTGGTGGTGGCCTGGTGGTGGCCTGGTGGCGGGGGTCGGACCTGGTGGTGGCGTGTGGAATGGTGCGGGGGTGGGGAGCTCCCAAGAGAGTGCGGACTTCGGACGTAATCCACAACGGAACAGTTGAGTCGCACACGCCTTTGGGGTCGGCGGATTCGGTGCAGCTGTTCCTCCTCCTCCTCCTCCTCCTCCTCCTCCTCCTCCTCCTCCTCCTCCTCCTCCTCCTCCTCCTCCTCCTCCCCCCCCTCCTCCCCTTCAGCCGCGGGGCGCCCTGTTCGCATGGTAAAACAGTATGCGTGTTTGTGTGTATGTGTGCATGTGTGTGTGTGCACGTTTTTTTTGTTTGTGTTTTTTTTTTTTTTGTGTGTGTGTGTGTGTTGTGTGTGCACGTGTGTGTGTGTGTGTGTGTGTGTGTGTGTGTGTGTGTGTGTGTAAGTGTGTGTGTGTGTGTGTGTGTGTGTGTGTGTGTGTGTGTGTGCGTGCGTGTGCGTGCGTGCGTGCGTGCGTGCGTGCGTGTGTGTGTGTGTGGTGTGTGTGTGGTGTGTGTGTGTGTGTGTGTGCGTGTGTGCGTGCGTGCGTGCGTGCGTGCGTGCGTGCGTGCGTGCGTGTGTGTGTGCATGTGTGTGAGTGTGTGTATCGCCCGTAGGCGTCCGTCTTCTGGCCCTCCCCTGCCCGGGCCCCATCGCACTTGTCCTGCCGTGTGCGTGCCGCCGTTCCTGGGCTCCTGCTGCCTGCATGCGCGCGCTCGCCGGTGCGTTTGCGCCTGCGTCATTCGGGGGCGCACCGCGGCTCCCTGTGCGCGACGGGTCGGGCTCGCTCGTGAAGCTGCCCGCCGCGCTGGGTGGGACCAGTTCCTGTGTATTCCACTCGTTTCGCTCCCGCGGCAGTGGTGCCGGTGCGCCAGCGGCGGAGTCCTGTGGTCGACGGGGCGGAGGGAGGCGCGCGTCGGGCACGGCGGGAGCGGGGCGGGGTCGCCTCCTGGTGGGGCACGGAGGAGGCCGAGAGGGCCAAGAAGGAGCAGCGGCCACGGCGCAAAGAATGTGAGGCAGGCGGATTTGGCCCGGTGGGCGGCGGGGTTGGTTCCGAGCAGGGCATGGAGGGGAGGGGCTTGGAAGGAGTACCACCCGGGCATCGAGGTGCTTGAAGGTAAAGAAGATGGGTAGATCGATGGAAGATGAGTGGAGGGCAGGGGGACGAGACATGGAAAATGTTACACTGTTGATATTCGTATATGTGTGTCGCGTGTTGGTGGGCAGTGGTGGATGATGCAGACAAGCGTTGCGCTCCGCAGCCAATTTTTGCATCTGCTTTTTGTTACGGCCGACCTGCAGTTTGGCAATCGGCTGCCTGCTGTGTGAAACCATATTCACGCACCTGTGCACGGCACTGGAGGGGCTGAAGGCGCGCAGTGTGGGGTGGGTGGGGATGGGGCGACTAGAAAACAAGAGAGGAACGGTTTGCCGTCCCCTTGTCCCTTTCCTCTCTCCTTCCCATCCCCTCTCCTTTCCCTTCGCCTTCCCTGCTTTCCCTCCCTCCCCCCGTTGCCTTTTGACCCCTCACCCCTCTCCCTGGCTTCAGCTTCATGCTTTCAAAGACCGCCCACGACCTGTATCCTCTAGCGTCCCTGCGAATGGGAATGCGCGGCAATGGCCAGCTGTTGCGTATATTTGCCGTCCGCTTGGATCAGTTGAACCCGAGAGGGGGCAGTCGATTGCAGGTAGTCGTCGTCGTCGTCGTCGTCGTCGTCGTCGTCGTCGTCGTCGTCGTCGTCGTCGTGGCCATTGCCCACATCTTTTCCTGGTTTTCGTTGCCGTCCTCGTTGTCGTCGCCGCCGCCGTCGTCGTCTTCCTCATCCGAACCAGACACCCCGTCACACAAGAGGGAGGGAAGGACTGGTGGAGGAGGAGGAGGGGGGGAGGAGGAGGAGGAGGAGGAGAGCCAAGAGAACGAGGAGGAGGAGGAGGAGGAGGAGGAGGAGGAGGAGGAGGAAATAGGAGCGTGCCCGCCGTGCCTGAATCCTAGATCAGTGAAAGGCTCTCGCTGGGCAACCCCGTGCCCTCTGAGATCCCTCGCGATCTCCGGAAGCCACGCCGTGGGCCGAAAAAGTTCAGTCGAGAGGGTGAGGGTGAGGAGGAACAGGTGGACCAGAGCAAATTCAGGATGCGTCAGCGATTCTGGAATACACCCTCCCATCTCAAACCAATCCCGCCATCAATCAGCACAATTGGTTTTGTTCGCTATTGGAAGCGCCCGCGCGAAAGACGATCGACCCACGAGCTTGCTGCCATTCTGGCGATAGCCCATATTGAGACATCTTCGTTCCCCATCCTAGCAATTGGAAGAGAATTTCAGCGCGACAGTCAGTATAAGCCGAGAGCGTCACAAGTGAGAGACTGTTTCAAAATAAGCCGCCCACCACCTGCCTGACTGATGCGCGTCATCAAGTTTTTGACTATAAGGCTTGATTGGATCTCGAGCCAGCATGGAAAGGAGCCGCCCTCAACCAGCGAAGCTGCCACGAACTTTCAGGGCAGGTATGCCTTCAGTTCGACCAGTGCTTCATCTGTGTACGCGTTTGCGGCGTTAGGGACTCGGTCACATTAGCGAATCGACCTGCCTTCCGTCCGTGTGAATGTGGCGGGACGCTGAGGGAGTAGTCGCATTTTGGATGCGACTCTCACCCCATCCTTGCAACTGATGCTGCCTTTTGACGCGCATGTGCACGACGCTAAGGCGAACACCACAGCTGCAAAACGGGCCGCCCTACATCTACGTATCTACTGTAGTTCTTAGCTTCCGCATCATGAGGGCGGTGAGGAAGTTTCCTGCTCAGCGCCGGGCCAGACGCCTCAGGTAGTGCGGTGGGAGGAGTTGTTTATGATGGGGTCGGAGGAGAAGTAGTCCGATGAGGCTGATGCGGAAAACAAGGCAGGCGGAGCGGGAGAGAGCGAGAGAGAGAATGAGATAGAGAGAGAGAGAGAGAGAGAAAAAAACAAAAAGAGGGCGAGAGAGCCAGGTGCGCGAGAGAGACGCGCCCACGCACGCCCAAGCGCGGGGTTCAAGGGCACCCCGCGAGCCCCAAAGTCGTAGAGCAGAGGTCTCTCCTTTGGTGGGCAGCGAGGTTCGTTGCCTACTATACGGGCCGCGTGCTATCCCACCTAGCGGCCGCTGGATTCCCTGACGTCGAACGCCCCCGGCTCCGGCGGGTCTTCGATCCGCTTGAATTCCTTTCGGACCCGAGGGGCCATCAGGTGAAGTTCAGAGCTGGCTGCTGGGGATGCCTTCAGTGTGGGCGCAATTGCGCACGCGTGCTAGGGTTTGTCGCCTCCCTTGCCCTGGCGTGCGTGCCTCCTCGGCTCGCTCAGGCCCATCATGCTCATCGTCAGTGGTGGGCCAGGGGGGTGGGAGGACGGGGTGATTTGGTATTCTGCCTGTGGAGGGTCAGCTCGGAGGCAGATTCTGTCGCTTCGCACGCGGTGCCTGGAGCACCCGACCTCAGGCACGAAGAATGCTTTAAAGTTGCTCAAGAGAGGAATCGACCCACCCACCCACCCAGCCAGGTCGACCCCTGTGACCCCGCCACTCGACGCTCGTCGAGTTTCCTGGGCACAGGGCTTGATTGACGTTTTGGCTGAACGAGGGGCTCGTTTTTGGGAGGAGTAGTTCTTCTCTTTTTTCGTGCAGGCCGTGTGTTCTTCTTCGTGTGGTTTCCAGGAGGCTGGTGGGGCCCCTGTGGGGCCCCTCGGCGCTCGAGTGGTGGCAGTTCGGATTGTGGTGGTTCCCTCGTGGGCCTCTGCCAAAGCAGCGGAAAGCGGAAAGAGGACGAGGCCAGAGCCTTCAACATCGCCTCTTGAAGCCGCCCTCGTGGGGCTCTTTTGGGGAATCGTGGGGTCCTCTTGGGTTTATTTGGGGTGCTTTGGGGGTCCTCTTGGAGCCCTTGTGGGGGTCGCTCAGGAGCCTTGCAGGGCCTCTTGTGACCATCTTGAAGGCCATCGATCAAGAGGAGGCGGGTCCTTGATTTTGCCCTCCCCCCCCCACACACACCAACCCCGGGCCATCAACATCGCCTCTTGGGGCGCTCTTGGGGCCCTCTTGTGGCGCTCTTTGGCGCTCTTGGGGCCATCTGGGGGGGGGCCTTGGGCTCCACTTGGGCCTCTCTTGGGCCATCTTGGGGCCATCTAGAGGCTTCAGAAGCGCATCGGAAACGGAAAGACGAGAAGGTACAATTCATTGATAGTCCTCCGGCCTTTGAGAGATTTTGGCCTCTTGGGGGTGTCATTACGGGGCTCCGCGAGCACTTGGACCCGTCTTGTGGCCCTCTTCGGGCTTCTTGGATGTATGTCTGTATGTCGGAAATTATATTGAACCATCGTCGGCTATCTTGAGCTATCTTGGATGTCATCCTGGAGCAGCGGAGGCCCTCTCGGAGCCATCTGGGGCCATTTCGGGCGACCTGACGCGTCGCGACCCCGCCCCAGGGAGCTCGGAGGGGGGGGTAAACCTCACAGAAGGGGAAACGTGTTCGGAACAAAAAATGACCTCGCTAGACCATCATCGCCCAATGGTCTGGTGGGGTTCGCTGTCGTGCGTGGCCAAGCACTGGTGGCCGATGGGAAGGGGAGGGAAGATCATGGACACCAGCGCGAGGGCCTTCGACGGATGTGGCACTGTATCTTCGAGCAGCATGTCGCAGACACAGGCCTGATCTCCAGCAGGAGCACGAGAAGGGTAAGGTGGAGGAGCACGTCGGACTGAAGGGGGGGAAGGGGGGCGTACGAAATCTGTTACATGCAGCTGCTTCAGGCCCAGCTGCTGGGCGCATTTCTTCGATACATCGGCGCCTCCTGGCACCTCCTGGCGCCGGGGAAATAAGCTACGTACGTGAGCTGGCTTGCTAACCTCCTCTTCGCTACACCCTTACTTTCGGCCGACCCAAGAGGAGCGGGATGAAAGCGAAGAGGACTGAGCCAGAGCTTGGGAGGCGACCGAAAGGCGTCCCTTACGATGGAAGATTTTGCGTATATCAGCCTCGGCCGAGTTTTTTTTGGTCTTCTGGCGCGTAGCGCTCGTTGTCCTGGCGAAACCCCTTCCCCCCAGGTAACGGCAACGATCTTACACAGGTCAGGAGGGAAAGAAACACACAGTCACACATGTTCGACAATTCCCAGGAACATATGGGAACATTTGGGAAGTGGGAGGGAAAACGAAGATCCAGAAAATATGAAAAAATATGATGAATCCTTGTATTTGTGCGTATTTTTTTGTGTCCCTGGGCCCCTTCAATAGGGAGGGAGGGGGGCCTGCCCCCCCCCCCCCCCCCTGCGGATGCTCGCTCGCATACATACCATGGTGATCGCAGCGTTTTCCGCCCAGGCGTTCCCGTTACCCGCCCCCCCCTCCAATCGAAAATTGGGCGAGGGCTGGCAAATCCATGGCTGCAAAAACGGTCTTCGCGGAAGAACTAATCAAATTCCCGGACCAGAATTCAGCACTCTAAATTGTAAACGGGTCGTTTCCCGGAAGAGTGAAACAATTTCCTGGAGCTCTGTTGTAGCAGCCACGGGTTTGCCAGCCTTCTCTTGGCTTCTGATCCAAGGTGACGGCCTTGTCTCGGCGGCAAGCAAGGGGGGGAAGTGAGAACGAGAAAGTCATATCAGAAGGCGGCGGGGCGTCTCAGAAGCCCTCGCGCCTTTGAGAGGTTTCCTTTGTCTTCGGGGAAGGCCTAGAAAAGTTCTCGGAAGGCCCGTCGACTTCCGAGCCTTCTGAGAAGGCCCGCCCCTTTCATTTCCCCCCGGGTTCGCCACCATCATTTTGGCAACGCGTCAAAACACGATGGAAGGCTTTGTGGAGATCAGCTTCGGAAGGGGCCCCGGCGCTCCAGCGCCTCCGCCGCAGCCTGCCACGTCCTGGTGCAACCCGCGCGTTGAGCGCCTTCTACTCGTCCAGCGGGGGGGCCTCCGCCTTCCCTGCGCAGGTGAGAGGCATTGGGTACATGTTGTGGGCCTCTTGCCATTCTCCTGCAGCACCAGCTCCCTTCAGGAGGCGAAAGCCCACCCCCACCCCCAGTCTCGACTTCCACCCCCGAACTGGCGATCCAGGGATTCGGGACTACTTGCGGGGGTGTTTCCTGGATCGCTGGACCCCGGAAAACCACCCCTACCCCCAGTCCCGACCCCCTGGATCGCCGGCTCGAGGGTGGGGTCGGGACTGGGGGCGGGAGTGGGTTGTCGCCTTCCTTGCCACAAGTTTGTCAATCGCTGCTCTTATAATGAACAGGGCGAAGGCGAAGAAGGAGGAGGATTAGGGGGAGGGAAGAGGAGGGTCGATGTACGCACAGTTTTCTCTTTGATGCGCAGCACATATTGCGCAGTGCCAATTTCGCCAATCTATTGCACCGCATTGATAGCAGGCGCAAGGGCGCAAGGGCACAACAAACTGGAACCAACCCTTTCACTGCCACAGCCCTCACTGCCACCTACACTCTTTCCCATCCATCCAGAGTTTGTGCCGCCATGTTGCCCGTGAGCCTACAATCTGATCAGGGTGCCGCAGTCGACGTCGGCGGGAGCGGGATGGACACGACCGAGGTCGAGGACGCCGAGGACGCGAGGACGGGATTGACGAAGGCCGCCGGCAACCTCACGACAGAGTCACCAGAGGGGGAGGACACGGAGATGGCTGCTTTGGACCGTCTCGATTTTTCTGCGCAGCCTACGTCTGGGTTCACAGTCTCCTTTCGGGACGAGCTCATGGTGGATTTTGTCGAAGAAGAGGTCATGGTTCATTTCCCCTGGGTCGCCGCGGCCAAAACGGGGCGGGCCGCCACGGGAGGCCCCGCGGTCATCTACCCGACATGTTGGGCGGACCTCCAGGGCATCTTACAGAAGCTGGGGTACAAGGTGACCGCCGAGGAGGCGTGGCAGCTTTTGGGCCTTGCGATGATCGACGGTCTGGACCCGTCAGGGCTCCTGATTGCCAACTGGCGCCGCGCAGCTGCACAGCTCTGCGGGCTCGCGGTGGCCCCTCCATGGACAGATTCGGACCTCGCACTGGCGCGGGGGTTCGCTGCCAGGGTCAGCGACGCGGCGGCGATCTGCGTGTCTGCGTCGTCCGTTGCTCTGGCCCAGCGGGGGCAGCTCAAGGTGCCGCGGCTGCCCCTAAGGAGCTGGGCACAGTCGCATTGCAGCTTCTTTCGAGCAGTCTGCTTGGGGGGACCTGCATTGCCACTCAATGGTCTGGGATCTTGGGAGCAGAGCTCCAGACGGCCTCTGACATTGCCGCTGCTCGTCGGTTGGCGGGCTGGGCGGGGAGGGGGATGAGAGCTTGTGGGCGCAGATCATTGGGAGGCAGGTTGCAGTGTGAGCCCCCGTCAACCAGAATGCGATCACCAGGTTCCTCCTTCAGTTCATGCGTCGCACGGCTATTGCGGAACGCCCAACGGCCCTGTACCTTATCGCCCCCGTGCCGTTGCAGGCGGGCACGGGGGCACTAGAGACGGTTTTGGACCTCTGGCACTTCCCGCTCCTGTCGGCGAAGTGGGCCCCCATCGTACGAGCATACACGGTAACCTTGACACCCATGGAGATGTTGCTTCCAGGTGGTGGGTTTCCGCGTCACGCGTGCCAGGGCCTCGCGGTTTTCCGTTTGCGCCATGCGGAACCGCGGGGGCCCCCGCACGTCCATCTACAGGAGGAGTACTGCGCCGCTCCGAAAGTTTCCCCAATTTTGCCACCGTGCTTGCCGAGGCCATCTGGGATTGCGCGCGCAGGATGAGACTCGCGGGGTCCGAGGGCGGACGGGGGCGATGTCGCGAGGGCAGAGTCGGCGCGCGGATGAGCAGGCCGGCACCCCGTTTGGCCAGAGGGGCCCAGTACAATGCAAGGGCAGAGCGCACCCCCTGCCCAGGGTCACGGGATCGGGCTCCCTTTCGGAATTTAGAATTTTAAGTCCCAAACGGTGTACGGACCCGAAAATGAGCAAACGGCATAGGACTTCCTCGAAAAAAGCTTTCGGGTTCGGTCATGCGACGACCCGAGAATTTTATCGACCTATCTGAAAGTGGCCATTTCGATAGGACTTGTGCCAAAACAGAAGTTCGGGTTCAGTTCGAACGACCCGAAAATGTGCGAACCGCGTAGGACTTTTCGCAAAACAAACATCGATCTCGACGTCTTCGGGTCCACTCCGAAAAAAACCGACAATGGGCAAACCGCTGAGAACATCCGATGGCAAACGGTTTCTCGGTGGTTCCGGATCTCGTCCAAAGGAGCCGCCGATGGGCCGACCTTGCAGGACTTCCTGCACAAGAAACGGTTTCCCAGGTGAGCCACTGTCAAACGGAAATGCGCCGCTCGCAGGATCGGGGTTCGCACGGGGGCGCGGTTGCTCGCGCCTGTCCAGGAGGCGCGCGTTCCCGCGCCCTTCCAGCATCGCGTTTGCTCTGCATTCGCGCGGCGCCGTCTTCTCAAATCGGAATAAATTTTCGGGACGCCGATGTATTCAACAAGATGGTCCAGGAATGGGCTGGGGACGATCGATTCTGTCCCCAACCATCCTGTGGTGATTGGGTCCTCGTTTTGAAGAGACAGCGCCCCGCGTTCCTTTCTTCCTTCCTCCTCTCCTCCTCCCCCTCTTCCTCGCCCTTGTCCCTTCTCCTCTTCCTGCCTCTGCTCTCCGCGTGCCCATTCCATGTCGGCGCGCGCCTTTCAAGCCGCGCGCCGCCATCTGCACAGTGGAGGCGCCCAGGGCGATAGTGCTGGACCTCCGGGCGGACGAGTGCACCCGCGCCATGTGCCTTCTCACCGTGGGCATGCCCCAAGAAATCCTCAGCCGCGCACCGCGGCGCAGCCCAGTGAGCGAGCACTCCGGCGATCTCCGAGTTTGCTTGGGCTGGGTGTTACCCCCAATCATCCAGGAGATGGGTATACTTTTGCTTCTCTGGCGTCGCCGTGGGGAGTCACTGGCCTTGGGTACCTTCTACGGTTTCCGCTCCATGGTCGGGCGCGGGGGGGGCGTTGCTCTTGGAGTTTTCCTCCAAGCTTGCCGTGCTGCAAGGTAGGCCGCTCTGCTCGCAGCCGGTCGCCCTCTCGCCCAGCAGGGTCGTCGTGCATGCGGAAGCGGAGCCAGAAACGTGGGCGGGCAATGGATTTTGCGATGCAGAACGACGTGGAGGAGACATCTGTCTGGCTACGCTGGCGGGCGCCCCGACATGGAGGCAGGGTGGTCGCGGCGCCGTCTGCCGCCTCCCGCGGGTTGGCGGCTTCGCGACGGCGTGGCGCGGCGCCATTGTCGCTCCGCGATTTCCAGGCCGAGGTCATCCAGGGGGCGGCGGGGGAGGAGGGCGGGCAGGTACTGAGGGTTCTCATGACACACGTACTCCAGGCCACGTGGCCGACAATCAACGAGACGGATCATCAACGATCGCCGATGGTGGGAGAGTGCATCAATTCGGCCACTCAGGACTCCGCCGCGCAGCCAGGCCGTCTCAGGGTGCTGCTCTCGTCGTTGGACGACGTTCGCTAGCTCCACAACGCCCTCCACGGTCAAACAGTGAGGGTGGGGTCGGACAGAATTGGGGTACTTGTCTGTAACGACCTCACGGAGAGCCGCGGAGTGCCGGGAAACGGGCGACGGAGCCGGGCATGAGTACCCGCCGACCCCATGATCCCGCAGGGTACATTGGACATGTGCATATGGTGGAACTCAGTACTGGGAGGCTGATGGCTCCACGGGTTTCCTCCTCGAGATCGCGCGGTTCCTCCGCGCTGTGCCTGCGGCGTCGAGCAGCCGGGCCCGCCGCGAGATTGAGGCCGCGCTGGGCCCGCGGCCGGTTTGTCATTCGGAGTTTCATTCTCCCTCCTCTTCTCCTTTCTCCACTCGCATCACGATTTTTAACAAATGAAAGTCGCGTAATTTCAACGCTCGCCTGTCGGCCCAAGTTTTTCAAGTGTTATGTTGCTGCCTGAATTGCCGCCGCTGGCATGCAGTGAAGAAGATTTCGGCCCCCGCGATCCAGGCGCTCCCCCGGGGCTAGATCTGCCGATCGCGCTTTGCAGGCGGCAGCGGCCCCCGCGGGCGTCGGGGGTGCTTCCGAGAGCAACGTCTCTCCCAGCTGCGTGCCGGCGGGCTCCTCCGACGCTGCCGGCGTCACGGGCGGGGCAGTATCGGGGCGAGTTCAGCGCGGCCGCCTGGAATGCCCGAGCGTTCTTTTGTTCGGATGAGGGGCGCCTCCGCGCCGAGGTCGCCTATGCGAGCTGGCTGCCGGGGCGTGCGGACGCATTGATGATAGCGGAGGCGCGCGGCGCAGGCGGCGGCGACAGTGCGCCGCGGCCTCCCATCGGGGCCCAGGCGTGGTGTTCCGCTGGCCCGCCCGCGAGCATTGCCGGCGTCGGCGTCGTCGTGCAGCTCAGCTTCCCGTCCAAATTTTCCGCCGGGCTTCGGGGGGCCGTCATTTGGCCCGGACGGGCCGCGATCCTCTCTCCGAGAGGCGCTGCAGAGGCGTTGGACATCATAGTCACGTATTTTCACATTGGCGGGACCGTGAGCGAGCTAGACAAGGGCGGAGCCCACCCCGATGCGATGGAGCATTGCTCGACTCTCCCACGCCCCCGTGGGCACCTCCGGACTCGCCTGGCCAATGCCATCCAGCCCCACCATCGGGTGATTGCGCTCCTGGGCGGGAATTTCATGTGAGCGGTGCTCGAGATTGACGGCCGGCGCGCGGCCGCGCTGCAGCCCACGGGCGGCCGCGACAACGGGGGGGGCAACTTCTGGCTATCAATCTGCCAGCGGCCTAGGTTCGAGGATCTCTGCCAGCCCGAGATGACGCGCGCGTGCGCCGCGGCGCCCTCGCGGCTTGATCACGTGTGCCTTGACCGCCATACCTCGGAGCAGATCGACCGCGAATTGCAAGTTGTGGCGCTGGAGTTGAAGCGTGACCGGCAAATCGTGCTGTACTGGCTGCCGGGCACATCCCAGTCAGAGTGGGCGCGACGAGGCGCCCCGTGGCTAGGTGGGCGCGCGCCCGTCCATATTCGCTTCGACGCTGCGCGATGGCCTTCCAGGAGCGGCTTGGCGCTTGCCCTGGGGCATCATATCTGGATCAGCTGCCTCTCTTGAAAGAGGCAATGCGAACGGTGGCCGAAAGCTTCGGCGCCCCCGCTGCGGGCCCCCCGCTGGCGGAGAAGGCGGAGGACAAGCGCGGGGTGGCCGCGCGGTGTATCCGGGCGTCGGGGCAGGGAATTCTCGCGGACATCTCGCAGTGCCTGCTGCAGTGTCTTCGCATCTCCTCGTGGGTGATCTATCCCCTGCGACTTGCAGGGGAACTTGGTGACCACCCATCGCGCTCTCCGCGAGCGCGCCGTCGAACTCGCCCGGGGGGGCGCGCTGCGCCTGCCCGGGGGGGGCCCGGGGCGACGCCGGGGAAGGCGACGGCCGCCAGATGCAGCGGAAGAGGCAGCGAGGCACACGATTGTTGTGCAAACTTGCGCCCGGCCGCAGTTCTGGCGCCGGGGCCGTCGTCGACGAACGCGGCAGCGTCGCGACGGGGGCGGCTGGCATGGCATGCCGCCGCGGCGGCATTGGGGGGTGGACTTTCCGGGGGCGCGGCATTCGGCGGGATCGCCTC